CTATTTTCTCCCAGTAACCCCCTCAGTCCCCCACTAACCCTCCCAGTCCCTCCCAGTCCCCCCAGTTCCCCCCATTAACCCTCCCAGTCCCCCCATTTACCCCCCTCCATCTGACCACGCCCTTCCAGGGTCGCCATGGCCACACCCAAGGCCACGCCCCCCGGGGCCTTGGGGACACCTGGAGACGCCCCCAACTCACCTGGAGGAGCCACCGGGGCCCAAAACCCACCTGGAGGGGCCACCATGGACTCACCTGAGGCACCTGGGGGTGCCACCACCCCCCAAAACTCACCTGGAGACGCCCCCGGGTCCCCCCAGGACTCACCTGGAGGGGCCACCAGGGACACTGGGAGTGTCCCCAGCTCACCTGGAGGGGCCACCACGGCCGTGGACACACCTGGAGATGCCCCTGGGTCCCCCCAAGACTCACCTGGAGGTGCCACCACCACCCAGGACTCACCTGGAGGCCCCGCCCCCGCCCCCCCGGCCGTGCCCGCCCTTGGTGTGCCCGCTGTGCGCCAAGTCCTTCTCGTCGCCGGCCAAGCTGGCCATCCACCGGCGGGCGCACACGGGCGAGCGCCCCTTCGCCTGCCCCGAGTGCCCCAAGGCCTTCGCCGACCCCTCGGTGTTCCGCAAGCACCTGCGGGGCCACGCGGGGCTGCGGCCGCACCGCTGCGGCGCCTGCCCCAAGGCCTACGCCGAGCGCAAGGACCTGCGCAACCACCAGCGCTCGCACACGGGCGAGCGGCCCTTCCTGTGCGCCGACTGCGGCAAGGCCTTCGGCCGCTCCTCGTCGCTGGCCTGCCACCGGCGCATCCACGCCGCCGCCAAGCCCTTCCCCTGCCCCGAGTGCGGCAAGGCCTTCACGCAGCTCTCGTCCTTCCAGAGCCACCGGCGCGTGCACACGGGCGAGCGGCCCTTCCTGTGCCCGCAGTGCGGCCGCACCTTCGCCGACCCCTCCAGCTTCCGGCGCCACCAGCGCGCCCACCAGGGCCTGAAGCCGTGCCGCTGCGGCGACTGCGGCAAGGCCTTCCGGCAGCCCGCCGACCTGGCCGTGCACCGGCGCACCCACACCGGCGAGCGGCCCTGGCGCTGCGGCGACTGCGGCAAGGCCTTCGTGGCCTCCTGGGACCTCAAGCGGCACCGGCTGACGCACTCCGGGGAGCGGCCCTGGCGCTGCGGCGACTGCGGGAAGGGCTTTGGCGAGCGGGCGGCGCTGGGCAAGCACCGGCGCACGCACAGCGGGGAGAGGCCCTTCGCCTGCGGGAGGTGCGGGAAGGGCTTCGGCGGCGTCTCGGGGCTCCGCAAGCACGAGAGGACGCACGGCAGGAGGGACGGCGAGGGGCGGGACGAGGCGGGCGGGGGGAGCGACGCCGGCGGCGCCGGCGGCGCCGGAGGGAACGGTGCGGTCGCCCCGAAGGAGGAGAGCGATGTGGGGGGGCCCAATGTGGCGGCACCCTGCGGGGGAACCAATATGGCCGCCGGTGTGAGGGGAGCCAATATGGCCGCCCCCGGTGTGGTGCTCACCAACATGGCGGCGCCCTGTGGGGGAACCAATATGGCTGCCGGCATGAGAGGAAGCAATATGGCCGCCCCCGGTGTGATGCCCACCAACGTGGCCGCTCACTGCGGGGGAGCCGACGGGGCCGAGGGCGGTACCAACATGGCCGCCCCCAGCAGGGAAAGCAGTGCGGCCCACCTCAATATGGCTGCCCCTGCCAGGGGGAGCAATATGGCCGCTGCAAACATGGTTGGCCCCAATATGGGAGAAACCAATATGGCCGCCCCAAATATGGTGCCCAGTGTAGGGGACATCAGTGTAGCCCCCAAAACGATGGCCCTCGCCAATATGGCGGCCACCGTGAGGGGAAGCAGCGCGGGGGGTCCGAATATGGCGGTGGCGCCCTCTGGAGAAAACAAGATGGCCGCCTTCGGGGGAAACGACGGGGGGGACCCCGGCGGAGGGTCCAACATGGCCACCGGCCTGAGGGGAGCCAATATGGCGCCCGCCAACATGGCCGCCGCCAACATGGCCGCCTCCATGGGGGAAACCAACACGGCCGCCGCCAACATGGCGGAATCCAACATGGCCGCCCCACCGGGGCCCCGCCCCTTCCCCTGCCCCCTCTGTGGGCGGAGCTTCGCGTCGGGGGCGGGGCTGAGGCGGCACCAGCGACGTCACGACCCCGCCCCCTCCCCGATGGCCACGCCTCCATCGCTGTAGCCACGCCCCTTCTTCTCTGATGGCCACGCCCCCGCGGGGGTGGGTAGGGGTGGGATGGGCGGGGTCTGGTTTTGGCCACGCCCTCTTTTGTTGGTGACGTCACAAATAAAGGATGAGACGAGTCGGGAATGAGGGTTTTTTGGGGGGGAGGGGGGAGACCCCAAAATACCCAAAGTTACCCCAAAAAT